GCACTAGGGCGTGTCCAGTAGGAGCCCCAGGGCTGGTCCAGTAGGAGCCCCAGGGCTGGTCCAGTAGGAGCCCCAGGGCTGGTCCAGTAGGAGCCCCAGGGCTGGTCCAGTAGGAGCCCCAGGGCCAGTAGGGCTGGTCCAGTAGGGCTGGTCCAGTAGGAGCCCCAGGGCTGGTCCAGTAGGGCTGGTCCAGTAGGAGCCCCAGGGCTGGTCCAGTAGGACTGGTCCAGTAGGAGCCCCAAGGATGCTCCAGTAGGAGCCCCAGGGATGTTCCAGTCGGGATGTTCCAGTGGGAGCTCCAGGGATGCTCCAGCAGAACCCACTCTGCCTCTGAGGTTTGTCATTCCTAACAGGCAAGCAGGAGTCTGGGCTTGCAGGAGGAGGTGAGGAGGTGGCTCTCAGGGTGCTGACCAGGGTCTGGTCACCTTTTTTAAGAGCTCACTCCACCTGCCTGTGTCCCAGGAGAAGGCTGAAGCCACACAGGAAGGCCTCCTGTGCTGGGGCCAGTGCAGGATCTCAGGATGTGCACCCTTGGTGGAGGAGATGCTTTGATGTCCCAGCTCCTGCTGCTCAGGCTTTGCTCGTGCTGCCAACAGGTTCCTTCCATCTGGAGGCAGCTTTTTTGGGAAGAGCTTTGCTCTCCTAGAAGCACCAAACCAGCACGAGGGTTGGAAGGAAGCTCTGCTTGGAAGCAGAAGGCTCTCCAAGTGCTGCCAGCCTCCCCCAGCAGATGCTCTGCTGCTCTCCAAATGCTCCAAGCTAGGAGAGAAACCTGGGCTGTGGGCACAGTGAGAGAAACCCCACATTTGGCAATGCCTTTTGGTTTTCTGCTGCTTGTTTTTTGCTGAACTGTGGGTCAGGTCCCAGGTGGGTTCTTAGGTGGGTTCCTCTGCCTCTCCCAGCACAGGTTCCCCCCACAGCACACATGTTTTTCAGGTCCCTCTCTGTCCCCCAGCAGCTTCTCACCCCTGGTTTTGTCATCTCCACCATGCAGGCCACGGGATGGACAGTCGACCAGCCATGGCCATCTTTGAGCTGCTGGATTATATAGTTAATGAGGTGGGTATTTCTGCTTGGGCTTTAGTTGGGCTTCCCTGAGGTGCCCCAGTCTGGTGTCTGCTCTGCTGACTCAGGCTCCAAAACCTGTGCTTGTTTGATGCACTGATATCCTTCCCTCCTCCTCTGTTCCCTCTTCCCATCTGTTCTCCATCACAAAAGCATCTCTGGCTTGGGGAGAAGTTCATCATAACCTTGAGAGAGGGGAGCTGGTGGTTGGAGTGACCTTCTCCCTCTGCAAGCAGCCATTTCAAACCTGCTCCTCCCCATCCAGCAGGGCCTGAGCCCTCCCTCTGTGCAGGTGCTGAGGTCCTGCAGGTTCCCTCACATGAAACCCTTTGGATGAGGGTGACCAGTCCTAAAATCCCAACCTGCAATGTCCTACCAGCCTTGCAGGGCAGGGTCCACCCCACCAGCAAGTGGAAAGAACAACTTTTCCCCTTCAAAGGGGGGAGGAGTTGGCCCCTAATTGTTGTTTTCATCCACCACAGGTGTTGCCAGAGCTGGGATCTCTGGGGTTGGATCCAGAATTGGGGTTTCCCAGCTTTTGGGTCCCCCCAAGCAGGGAGAGGGGCAGTTCCCTGGGAAATGGCAGGGAGCAATTTCCAGCCTGTAAAGGGCAGCTTGGAGGAGGAGGAGGAAGAGGAGGAGAGCTGGAGAGCACAGCTTCTCTGCAGCTCCTGAAGTCAGTGCCACTTTGTGTTTTACCCCCCTGAACACCCAAGTGATGCAGAAAACCCTTCTCCTTTCTCTCCTCAGCCACCTCCCAAGCTGCCCAACGGAGTTTTCACCCAAGATTTCCAGGAGTTTGTAAATAAATGGTAAGGATTTCATCTCCCAGCTGGAGGTGGGAGGCCTGTGTGGTGCACCCTGGCTGCTCCACCCAAAATGCTCCCTGGGAGAGCACCATATTCTCCACCTTCTAGGGGTGATCTCTCCCTGCCTGCAGTTTGATCCTGCCCTGGGCAGCTCCTGCCTTGGGAAGGCTTGGAATAAAAACAGTTTCTTGGTGGGGATGCTCAGCAGGGTCCCAACACCTTCTAAAGATGAGCCTGGCAGGGGTGGGGGGGATGGTGGAGCAGATTGCTGGGCTTGTGAGTCACCCCCAAGCCTTGCACCCCAACACACCATCCCCTTCCAGACCTGCTGTGGTGCTGGGGGTGGCACCTTCAGGTGCTGCTGAAGCTTCTGTTCAATCACAGAGGTTGAATGTGACCAAAAGGACCTTGATTTCCACCAAGGAGTCACCCTTGGAAGGGTGCAGGTTCATCCACAGGGTCTAGGAGAGGTGGATCCTGCAGCCCCTCCCTGGGGGGGCTGTTGGGGATGGTGCTTTTGGAGCTGTTTCCATCCTGCCAGGTTCCTGGGGAAAGCAGCCCAGGACACCCAGTGGCTTCTCAGTGAAGCTGGAGGCCCCTCCAACCACATCACCTGGTTTCCCCAGAAGAAAATGTCTCAGCTTTGGTTTGTTTCTTTCTCATTTCAGCTTAATTAAGAACCCAGCAGAGCGGGCAGATCTGAAGATGCTGATGGTGAGTGGGCAGAGCAATTTGCTTTCTCTCCTGGGGTGGCAGCAGATCTGGGAAGTGCTGCCCCTTCCCTCTGTAGCTCCAAAGGCTGGAAACTCCCAGGGTGAGCTCCAGATGAGCCAAATAAAGCTCTGGAGAGGGGAGTGACTCACCTTTGGTTCAAAGGCAGTGATGGGATCTAAGCCCTGGGGTGGGAACCACCCTCCTGGCCCTGGGGCTGCTGAGCTGCCTGGGACAAACCTTTGCCTCCTGAGCTGGGCAGGTGGATCCATGGGCTGATCATGAGCTGGCAAGGTCTGGTTGCAGCCCAGAAAGCCACCCTGGGCTGCCTCCAGCAGAAAGCCTGGCCCACAGGTTGAGGGAGAAGGGTTCTCCTCTGTTCTGGTGTGACTGCACTTAAAGAGCTGTGTCCAGATCTGAGGTTCCCAGCAGGAAACACGTGGATCTGCTGAAAACATGGAGATGATCCCAGGGCTGGAGCAGCTCTGCTCTGGAGCCAGGCTGGGAGCGTTGGGGGTTCAGCCTGGAGAAGAGAAGGCTCCAGGGAGACCTTAGAGCAGCTTCCAGGGCCTGAAGGGGCTCCAGGAAAGCTGGGGAGGGACTTGGGACAAGGGCAGGGAGGGAGAGGACAAGGGGGGATGGATGAAAAGTGGCAGAGGGAGATTGAGGTGAGACATGAGGAGGGAATTGTGGAGTGTGAGGGTGGTGAGAGCCTGGCCCAGGTTGCCCAGGGAAGCTGTGGCTGCCCCATCCCTGGCAGTGTTGAAGGGCAGGTTGGATGGGGCTTGGAGCAGCCTGGGCTGGTGGGAGGTGTCCCTGCCCATGCAGGGGGTGGGACTGGATGATCTTTAAGGTCCTTTCCAACTCAAACCCCATAGAACTGGGTTCTAGGAGCCCAGTTTAACCATGTTGAGCTCCTGTTTCCTCCTCAGCTCTGTGCTGAGCTCCTGAGCTGCCTCTGGGTGTTCCAAGGCCCCGTGTGCAGGTTGTCCTGTCCTGCCTCTGCTTCTCCCTCACCTGCTGCCCAGGGGGGCAGGATTTGCCACCTGGGGACACCCGAGGCCCCCAGGAGTGCAGGAGCTGCAGGACTGTGCCCTGCCTGCCCAGCCAGGGCCCTGGTTTGGGGCTGGGGCCACTCGGGCACTTTGTTGTCCCCTTAAACCTCCCTACCTCACAGCCCTGGAGGGGCAGCACAAATCCCGGGCTGAGAGGGTGAATAGGATCTGAAAACCTGCTCCAGGGCAGCCTGAGCTGTGGGGGGGTTGGGGGGGGGGGGTTTTTCGGGGGGGGGGTTTTCTGGGGTTCTCAGGTGGGATGTTCTCACCTTGGGATCTTCTCAGGTGGGATCTTCTCAGGTGGGATCTTCTCAGGTGGGATCTTCTCAGGTGGGATCTTCTCACCTGGGGATCTTCTCACCTGGGGTGGTCTCAAGTGGGATCTTCTCACCTGGGGAGCGTTCTCACCTGGGGATGTTCTCAGGTGGGATCTTCTCACCTAGGAATTTTCTCACCTGGGGAATCTTCTCACCTGAGGATGTTCTCAGGTGGGATCTTCTCACCTGGGATGTTCTCAGGTGGGATGTTCTCACCTAGGAATTTTCTCACCTGGGGAATCTTCTCACCTGAGGATGTTCTCAGGTGGGATCTTCTCACCTAGGAATTTTCTCACCTGGGGAATCTTCTCACCTGAGGATGTTCTCAGGTGGGATCTTCTCACCTGGGATGTTCTCAGGTGGGATGTTCTCACCTGGGATCTTCTCACCTGGGGAATCTTCTCACCTGAGGATGTTCTCAGGTGGGATCTTCTCACCTAGGAATTTTCTCACCTGGGGAATCTTCTCACCTGAGGATGTTCTCAGGTGGGATCTTCTCACCTGGGATGTTCTCAGGTGGGATGTTCTCACCTGGGATCTTCTCAGGTGGGATCTTCTCAGGTGGGGTGGTCTCAAGTGGGATCTTCTCACCTGGGGAGCGTTCTCACCTGGGGATGTTCTCAGGTGGGATCTTCTCACCTAGGAATTTTCTCACCTGGGGAATCTTCTCACCTGAGGATGTTCTCAGGTGGGATCTTCTCACCTGGGATGTTCTCAGGTGGGATGTTCTCACCTGGGATCTTCTCAGGTGGGATCTTCTCAGGTGGGGTGGTCTCAAGTGGGATCTTCTCACCTGGGGAGCGTTCTCACCTGGGGATGTTCTCAGGTGGGATCTTCTCACCTAGGAATTTTCTCACCTGGGGAATCTTCTCACCTGAGGATGTTCTCAGGTGGGATCTTCTCACCTGGGATGTTCTCAGGTGGGATGTTCTCACCTGGGATCTTCTCAGGTGGGATCTTCTCAGGTGGGGTGGTCTCAAGTGGGATCTTCTCACCTGGGGAGCGTTCTCACCTGGGGATGTTCTCAGGTGGGATCTTCTCACCTAGGAATTTTCTCACCTGGGGAATCTTCTCACCTGAGGATGTTCTCAGGTGGGATCTTCTCACCTGGGATGTTCTCAGGTGGGATGTTCTCACCTGGGATCTTCTCAGGTGGGATCTTCTCAGGTGGGGTGGTCTCAAGTGGGATCTTCTCACCTGGGGAGCGTTCTCACCTGGGGATGTTCTCAGGTGGGATCTTCTCACCTAGGAATTTTCTCACCTGGGGAATCTTCTCACCTGAGGATGTTCTCAGGTGGGATCTTCTCACCTGGGATGTTCTCAGGTGGGATGTTCTCACCTGGGATCTTCTCAGGTGGGATCTTCTCAGGTGGGGTGGTCTCAAGTGGGATCTTCTCACCTGGGGAGCGTTCTCACCTGGGGATGTTCTCAGGTGGGATCTTCTCACCTAGGAATTTTCTCACCTGGGGAATCTTCTCACCTGAGGATGTTCTCAGGTGGGATCTTCTCACCTGGGATGTTCTCAGGTGGGATGTTCTCACCTGGGATCTTCTCAGGTGGGATCTTCTCAGGTGGGGTGGTCTCAAGTGGGATCTTCTCACCTGGGGAGCGTTCTCACCTGGGGATGTTCTCAGGTGGGATCTTCTCACCTAGGAATTTTCTCACCTGGGGAATCTTCTCACCTGAGGATGTTCTCAGGTGGGATCTTCTCACCTGGGATGTTCTCAGGTGGGATGTTCTCACCTGGGATCTTCTCAGGTGGGATCTTCTCAGGTGGGGTGGTCTCAAGTGGGATCTTCTCACCTGGGGAGCGTTCTCACCTGGGGATGTTCTCAGGTGGGATCTTCTCACCTAGGAATTTTCTCACCTGGGGAATCTTCTCACCTGAGGATGTTCTCAGGTGGGATCTTCTCACCTGGGATGTTCTCAGGTGGGATGTTCTCACCTGGGATCTTCTCAGGTGGGATCTTCTCAGGTGGGGTGGTCTCAAGTGGGATCTTCTCACCTGGGGAGCGTTCTCACCTGGGGATGTTCTCAGGTGGGATCTTCTCACCTAGGAATTTTCTCACCTGGGGAATCTTCTCACCTGAGGATGTTCTCAGGTGGGATCTTCTCACCTGGGATGTTCTCAGGTGGGATGTTCTCACCTGGGATCTTCTCAGGTGGGATCTTCTCAGGTGGGGTGGTCTCAAGTGGGATCTTCTCACCTGGGGAGCGTTCTCACCTGGGGATGTTCTCAGGTGGGATCTTCTCACCTAGGAATTTTCTCACCTGGGGAATCTTCTCACCTGAGGATGTTCTCAGGTGGGATCTTCTCACCTGGGATGTTCTCAGGTGGGATGTTCTCACCTGGGATCTTCTCAGGTGGGATCTTCTCAGGTGGGGTGGTCTCAAGTGGGATCTTCTCACCTGGGGAGCGTTCTCACCTGGGGATGTTCTCAGGTGGGATCTTCTCACCTAGGAATTTTCTCACCTGGGGAATCTTCTCACCTGAGGATGTTCTCAGGTGGGATCTTCTCACCTGGGATGTTCTCAGGTGGGATGTTCTCACCTGGGATCTTCTCAGGTGGGATCTTCTCAGGTGGGGTGGTCTCAAGTGGGATCTTCTCACCTGGGGAGCGTTCTCACCTGGGGATGTTCTCAGGTGGGATCTTCTCACCTAGGAATTTTCTCACCTGGGGAATCTTCTCACCTGAGGATGTTCTCAGGTGGGATCTTCTCACCTGGGATGTTCTCAGGTGGGATGTTCTCACCTGGGATCTTCTCAGGTGGGATCTTCTCAGGTGGGGTGGTCTCAAGTGGGATCTTCTCACCTGGGGAGCGTTCTCACCTGGGGATGTTCTCAGGTGGGATCTTCTCACCTAGGAATTTTCTCACCTGGGGAATCTTCTCACCTGAGGATGTTCTCAGGTGGGATCTTCTCACCTGGGATGTTCTCAGGTGGGATGTGGGGGGTTCCCCTTCTCCCCAAGCCCCTCCCAGGGCTGATGCCCCCTCAACCCCCCCAAAAAAAACCCCAAGAAGCCCCAACTTGGGAACCCCAACCCCCCCATCCCCAGCAAAACAACAAACCCAGGGGGTGACCCCCTTGATTTTTGGGGTGTTTTGGGGTGTTTCATGAAGCAGCAGGTGGGAAACAGGGACAACTGAGCCCATTTTGGGGTGTTTTCTTTGCTTTTTGGTGCTGGATTCAGGAGGAGGGAGCAGAGGGAGCCTTTGGGTTGGGGCAGTTTTCTTGGCAAACTTGGTCTTTTCATCATTCTTGTGATTTTTGTTGGTTGTTTGTTGGGTTTTTTTTTTTGGGGGGGGAATAATAAATAATAAATGGCACTTTATATTTACAGGCCTTTTTTTCTCTTCTTCAGCCCCAAAAGGGTTTGAATCCCCTTGTGGAGTCAGGTTGGGGGGGGGGGGGTCACTGGGTTGGGGACACTCGGCTGCCTCCAGTGGGGAGAAACCAGCATGGACTGGTGTGACTGGGTAGGGTGGGATGTGGGGCCGTTCCCTAAATCCTGAGCCAGGAGAGCCCTGGGATGGGCTGGGAAAGGTGATGGTATTATTAGTAGTATTATTAGTATTAGTAGTAGTATTATTAGTATTAGTAGTAGTAGTAGTCGTAGTAGTCGTAGTAGTCGTAGTCGTAGTCGTAGTATTGGTAATAGTAGTAGTACTACTAGTAGTATTAGTAGTAGCAGTATTATTAGTGGTATTATTAGCAGTATTATTAGTATTATTATTATTAGTAGTAGTATTTTATTTTTATCATTATTTTTATTGTTATCATTTTTATTTTTATTTTTTTAATTTTTAATTTTTATTTTATTTTGTTATTATTTCATTTCATCATTATTTAATTTCATCATTATATTTAATGATTTAATTGGTTTATTGAATTATTTGATTACTATTTTATTTTTAGTTTATTGTTTTATTTATGATTTTATTATTACTCTATTATTTTATTTGATTATTATTTTATTCTGAATTTATTATTGTATTATTAGTCTATTATTTTATGATTATTCTATTATTTTATGATTATTCTATTATTTTATGATTATTCTATTATTTT